TTTATAACAAATATATATATATATATATATATATATATATATATATATATATAAAAAAATATGAGTGTTTATATATTTATGTATTTATATATTAATATATAGTTTAAATATTTATATATATGAATATATCAAATAGAAGAAATATATTTTCTAAATTATAAATATTTATATAAACCCCCTTCTTTTACTACCTCTTTACTCCACTCCAGGCTGCCAAGAGCTAAGAGGTTGGAGAAGAGCCAGTTTTTCCTGGTTCTCCCCGGGTGCAAGGGTTTGCTGGGCAATTGGGACCATGCAAAGCTGATGACCCTGTTGGTTGGGTGGGTTGGTTGTGGAGCAGAAATTCAGTGAAAATGAAAAATTTTGGCAGGAAGGGGGAAGGGCTTTTTTTGCTTGTTGAGAAAACAGAGAAGAAAACACCCTTTTTTATTATTTAAACATTTTTGTCTGTGTGTGCTTTTGCCTTTGGCTTCACAAAAAGAAAAAAAAGACAGACAAACAAAATGTGTCTTGCTGAAATTTGTGTGTTGATCAAGAGCTGCCCTTTGTCCCAGAAAAAATGGGAGCTGAGAAACTCTTTGGAGCAGGGTGTGCAGGAGAAACCCAGCAGGTTAAACCCTCCGTCTCCGACACTGTTCTGCACCCCATCCTTGGTCATGTCTCTCAGTGGTGGGAAAAAGAGAGTGTTGACGTAGCTGGATCTATCTCCATCCATGAATTGGGTGTTCAGCCTGGAAAGCTAAAGGGAAGCAGCGGGAAAGGGGATATCCCGCCTCCTTTTAATACAGGGTGTGGGATTTAGAGCATGGGATATCCCTTGCATTTGGGATGTAGCTGGCAAACCCATCCTGGGGCTCAGGTGTCCCCAGGAGAGGTATGAACATCCAGGGGTGGTCTGCACCGTGCAGAATACATGTGAGCTAAATTAAATATCCAGCAAACACAGCCTGGGAAGTGTTGGCAGTCACAGCATTTCCCACCCTGGGGATGCTGCTCCCTGATTGGAATTTTCCAGGTAGTGCCTTTCCCCAGGCGATTTAAAACGGTCATTTAAAAAACGGTTATTTAAAAAGAGCGTAAATCATCTTGGTGAATCCAGCTAGCAAGTTAGCTGCTAACGTGAGTTAGCTGCTAATGTGAGTCAGAGCACATGGTGTAACCTGTCAAGTATTAGAGAATACTGTGTTTTATGTAATTATCTTGTAGAAGCAGGGAGGTTTACAGTCCTAATTTCCTTCTATTTATGGGGTTAAATCTCAACTGGAGCCTACAATTGGCTTTCTCTGTGGGGCAAATATACCCTTGGGGTCTCCATCTAGTTCAGGAGATGGAGGCATCCCCTGTCCTGCATGACATCTCCACACGAGTGTGGACAGCTGAGCCAGGCTTTGGACCTCCTCGGAGGTGGGGTGGCCATGGTGCCTCCTACCTGGGCTGAAAGGATGTCAGTGGGTGCTTGGATGGATGGCCTTGGTCAATCCTTTCATTGGGCTTTCTCCTCCTTGGTTGAGTATCCCAGACTCGAGTTGATGGTGGAGCTTCTTGGTTGGCATCTCCAAGCTGGGGCTGACAGTGGAGCTTCTCAGTTGGCATCTCTGACTTGGGATTCATGGCCAGGGACGGGTGGCATGGCCAGGCAGGTGTTTTCCTGGGGAAAGAGCCCTCCTGAATGACTTTATTTCCTTCTTCCCCACAGCTGATAGTCGAAAAAACGACTGACTACCCTTCAGCTGAGTACTCCCTGGTGGAGGATGTAGCCCTCCACTTCACGTGTTTGATGGACAGACTGAACGAGCAGCGACTCTTTCAGCCGGACCTGTGCGACGTGGACATCGTGCTGGTGCAGCACAAGAGCATCTTCCCGGCGCACAAGGGGGTCCTGGCAGCCTACAGCCAGTTCTTCCACTCCCTCTTCACCCAAAACAAGCAGCTGCAGCGCGTGGAGCTCTCTCTGGAGGCCCTCACCTCTCAGGGCCTTCAGCAGATCCTCAACTTCATCTACACCTCCAAGCTCCTCGTCAACTCCTGCAATGTGCAGGATGTGCTGAATGCGGCTGCCGTGCTGCAGATGAACAATATTGCCTCCTCCTGCCAGGATCTCCTCGACACCCACTCGCTCAGCCTGGCTGCTGACATGGCCCTGCCCGCTGAGAGCTGTGCTGGACCCCCGCCTTACTACTGCGAGATCAAGCAGGAGGTGGATGCTCCCCATCCCAAGATCTACGCCCGGGAGGGCAATGACCCCTACTCGGTGCGGGTGGAGGATGGAGCAGGTGGTGGGACACTCCCCCCGGGTCCAGCCAAGCAGTACTACAAGGAGGAGAAGGATGGTGGTCCAGGCACTGTCTGTAAGATGGAGGGTGAGGAGTCTGAGGAGGACCTGGACAGCCAGGGCTCATACAACCGGGAGCAGATCATCGTAGAGGTAAACCTCAACAACCAGACCCTCAATGTCTCCAAGGGCATGGAGGGGAAGGCAGCCGCCAGTGAGGCGGCGGTGATGGGGCGGCCTGACGGTGATGGGCGTGACACGGAGGAGGATGGGGAGGAGGAGAATGAGGAAGGAGAGGAGGAGGAGGAAGAGGAGGAGGATGCAGAGGTGGGCGAGGAGGAAGAGGAGGAGCACAGTGAGGAGGAAGACCTGGAGGAGACAACGGAAGAAGAGGAGGATGATGATGACGATGAAGATGTGTCAGAGATGAAAAGAGAAAAGGGTGGACAGCCCCGCAGAGGCAGCCGGGCATCCAAAGCCACCAAATCTGCCATGGCAACCAGGTCCCAGGAGATGGCCAAGGTGGAAGAGGAGGAGGAGGAGGAGGAAGAGGAAGGTCAGCGAGGGAGGAAGAGGAAAAAAGAACAGGATGGTTTGGGCCAGAAGGTGAAGCTGGAGGAGAAGCAGCACTACCCATGCAAGAAGTGTCCCCGGGTCTTCAACAACCGCTGGTACCTGGAGAAGCACATGAACGTCACGCACAGCCGCATGCAGATCTGCGACAAGTGTGGCAAACGCTTCCTGCTGGAGAGCGAGCTGCTCTTGCACCACCAGACCGACTGCGAGAAGAACATCCAGGTGAGACAGGCCCAGGGACATGCCACCAAGGGGTGGAGCATCCCACTGGGGATGGACGTCCCACCAAGGTGGGGACATCCCAATGAGGGAGGGACATCCCACCCAGCTACACCGTGGGATGGGCTCATGCTCAAATCATATTTTTGATGTTGTGGTTGGCACATGGCAGACGGAAGGGAACCTTACTTCACCCAGACTTGTATTCAGGCTTGGGAGGGTCCCATGGTGGCATGGGACCAGAGGATTTGTGGTAGGGGACGGTGGCTTCCCCTTGGCTGTCTCGGTGGAAGTATGGAGTAATTTTTGAGGAGTAATTTTTCTTTGAGTTTATTCAGTTAACCTGGATAAAACATTGCAAGACCCTGATGGACACACATTCCAGCCGTTCCCACCCAGGCTGAAACCAATTTAGCTTAATTCAAAGATTTGATGACATGAGTTAAAGTGGTTTTAATCTGCCTTTTGTGCTCTTTAGCTTGCATATTAGCAAGTTTCTGAATGCATTTGACATTCCTGCATGGCTCAGGCTTGGTGTGTCCTTCGCCTAATGCTAATGAGCTCCTGCATTTGCAGATTGACTCCATTAAATAAGTGCAATTTTTGGAGATAGGTAAGCATCCCATTAGAGCAGCAAACATGTGTTCCTGCATACCCCTCCAACCAGTCTCCTAATCCCTGACGAGCTATTTTGCTGCTGATACTAATTAAAAAAATACCAACTTCTGGAGAGCTTCGCCTGTCATCCTTCCCACAAGTGACTGGATTTTAAATGATCTTGCTGCTCTCCTAGAAGAAGGTGGCACAACCCAAGTACTACTGGAGCCCTTCGCTGGTGGCACCCTGAATAAAATGGGGAGTGAAGTAGATTTCAGCATTAGGGCATGTGGGGAATACAGAGGCAGGAGTGGTCTGGTCTTGAGTGGGTGAAGGAGCTTTGGTGCATCTTCCTGAAAAATTCACAACCCTGCAGTTGCTTTCTTTGGATGCTTTTTTCCAGAATGGGTGAGTGCAACTCCAATACCTGTGTGGTGGTGGCTGTTTTGGAGCCTATCGTAAAGTCCGTGCAATTAAAAATGGGGTTTTCCAGAATGTTTCTTCAGCCTCATCTACTTTTCTGATGGATAACATGGGGCTGCCACCTCACTGCTT